TTAGTCAATACGTTTACTAGAATCCTCCGATGGTGGTCTTACCCAACCTCCATAGCGTCTTTCCATTTCTCGTGCCACAGCTAGACACAAATGATCCTGACCCGGATTCGCCACTACTTGTATGCCCATGGGTAGACGGCGTCGATCTAAACCAATCATACAATTGGTTACGGGTAAACCCAAAGTATTGAAAATGGCCATATACATGGGCTCCAATAACTTATGATAGATTTGATAATGCTGATGGGCTGTATTCGGGAATGTGGGATAAATGAAGACCCCATCATTACCCAGCAATTCTTTGAATTCAGTCTTTAAAGCCTCAATAATGGTGGCTAAGTGTTTGTGTCGTGAATTTGGTATGATTTTCATAAAGTTTTGCAAATGGCCGAATATAACCGAAGGTAGAATGCTGTCGGAACAGCCAAAGAAATATTTCACCGTTTCGGTACAAACAGTTTTGGGTCTTTGGCCCTCTTCGGTTTTGTGGTAAATAGTTTCAATATTTTTCATGGTTAACATGGCGGAGAGTGATATGTCCAGGGACCATTTCATTTTACGTATATTCACTCGCTTGGCATTGAAATCATTGGCTACACGATTTATAGCAGCATGTAAATCACGACTCAAAGGTCTCATCATACCCGAAGGACCATCGTTATCCATAAAGAAGAAACGTATACCGGTAACACTTATTTCCTTTTCCAATGTAAGTTTAGGACCGGTAGGATCAGTCATACATCTCAACAGCAAAGGCAAATCCTTGGCATATCTGGTCATGGGAGCTATGGTGAAAAAATCACCCCATTTAGGAAAATCAGATGTGGGATGATGACCTTTAAATGAAACAGCATACGGTGTTGGTTTATGGCCCCATATGCCACTAAACATGGCCGGTAATCTAGAGGAACCACCAATATCCGATGTTAAACCCAGCAATGAGGCTCCACTAGCCAATAGAGCAGCTTCTCCACCCGAAGAACCACCCGGTGTTCTCTTTAAATCGTAAGGATTTCTAGTCTGACCTGTAACGTTGTTATACGTTTCCCATAGCAGACACAACTCGGGAGTATTGGATACTAGCAGTATAATGCCACCATAACGTTTTATTTGTTCCACCACAGGCGCATCAGATTTTGCTATTTGTGGTGTTTTAAAAACACGTCCCGCTTGATTTGTCATTCCCTTAACGGCTATGGATTCCTTAACTGTCACCGGTATGCCCAGAAGAGGAGTATTTTCTTCCATTTCCTCTTCTGTGCTCAGACCCATTTCGATGATACGATCTACCTCACGTGCTTCCTGTAATGCCTCTTCAAAACGATCTTGCACGATGGCATTTATCAAAGGATTCACCTGTTTACATCGCTCTATATAGGCTTCCACCACTTCTTCACTTTTGATCTATAATGAAAAAAAATTAATTAATTTTATAAATTATTGAATTTATAAATATTTTAAATGAGCTTTTAACACAAACAAGAATATTTTTTATGCATACACGTGTGATTTAAATATAATTAAATAGTGTAAGGTTTGCGCATTTCCAGACAAACAGACTTCAACCCTGATTAATGCAAAAATATTCGTAGATAAATCTGTAATCTTAGTTAATAAGCGTTTAACTAGCGTGTTAATTAAACTGAGTTGTATGTTTTCTAAAGAAAATTAACTACAATTAAGGTGAATAAAAAGATTATAAAAATTATTAAAAGTAGAAAGTTCAAAAATGGTCAACGGATATTCTGAAAATGTGTAAAAAGTTTAATTTAATTCTTAGAACTGGGAAACCAACTTAATAATCTACTATAAGATATCAAAAATTGGCATAACTACTTCTTCGATTTGCAAAATATATTAATTTTTTTTTGAATTATTATATAAATTATTTCTAATAAGAATTTTAATAAAAAGGAAAAAAACTTAAAATTACTGTTTATTTTTATTTTTTAAGAAATTTAGCGCCGTTAAAAATATAAATTATATATAGTAGCTTAATCGATTACCTATAGAATTTAAATTTCATTCTTATTCCAAAACATAAACAAATTCAAAGCACATTTTCTATAAAACATTTAAAAACATTGAATTAATGCGGTTATTGTTTCAAATAAAATTGGTCCTTCGCAGTAAACAAATAGTTATTTTTACTTATAAATATAAAGTATGTATGTATAAAGTTTTGGATTTTATATGATAATAAAGTTTGTTTGTTTTGTTTGAAATATTTTTATTGTGGGAATTAAATCCACTACCCCTTGGCTGCTATATTTTACGGCGTCATGAAATAACTCCCCATGAAATAACTCCCCAAATCAAAAATGAAATAACTCCCTAAAAATTTGTTCAGAAAGGAAAAACAACGAAATTTGGGGATTTAATTCGTTTTTTGGGGCATTATTTCACATTTAAAATGGGGAGTTATTTCATTATGAAATAATTCCTCAAAATTCAAAATTGAAATAAATCCCTAAAAATATTTTTGGGGAGTTATTTCATTTTATTACTTTTATCACACGAAATAAAAAAATATATATCTGATAACCGTCCTTCGGCCGGCGAAAGGGTTTTATCCTTTGGGTACATTGGACAACGGCTTCGCTAAGAATACACCCTCCTTGTATCAAGAGTGTTCGGCTTTAGGCCGGCTATTTCGGAAATCTTTACTAAGCGAAGCCGGTGTTGGTCATATTATAGAGTGGTAAATCCTTGCGTCCCACAGTGGGGCAGAATGGAAATTTTTTGGAAATAAATCTGGCATTTCTAAACGGCTGATCCGATCGGGATAAAATTTGGCGTGAGCGTAGCCAAGGAGTATTCGAGTTTAAGTTTTGAAGATGAACCCTGCAGATGCCCCAGGGACGGCGCTGTGGCGGCTCAAAGTAGGGTACCTACGACATGTAAAATTTTTAAACTCGTGCCATTTTTTTGTTTTTCACCCAAATACAAAGATTTTTATATTTTGTGAAAGCGCTCGACGAGATCTTGAAAAAACATGCTTGGACATACTACTTATCTCTTATAATATCCGAGTTATAGGCATTTAAAAATTTAGTGATACAAAATTTACCATACCTTGGTCCGCCTTTTTTTGAATACCGGGCGTAATTTTGGACCAAATGGACTCAATTTTTTCTTGTTAGTTAGACAACAAAATTTCCAATAATATACAAAAAATTTCAGATCAATATCGTTTACAGATCCAAAAATATACGTTTTTTAATTTAAAAATTCAAAAAATTTTAGATTTTTGGCGTTTTTTTGCCAAAAATGTGTCTTAACTCTTTTATTAATAAAATAAATTTTTTATTAAGAACATATAACAATTTTATAGTTTTCTAAAAGGTATCTTTACGCAGAACGCTTTGGCGTAAAAAACTTGTCCTATTTTTTGAAAATATTGCCACTGCGTCCTTCCGAATATGACCTATTTTTTATCAAAACTTCAACTTTGGGCGACATGTTCTAAAATCCCAAAGCTGGGATCAGAAAACTGAAAGCAGTTTTGGAAACCTCAATATGTTTTCTATTTACTCCAAAAGTATTTTCCCAGCCCTGAAAGAAATGAGGACCCTATGGGCAAAAAAGTAAAAAATCCCATTTTTGGGATTTTCATTCCTATTTTTGGGAATTGCGGGATGCCCTTTGACCTTTTCAATTTTTTTTTTGCATATTCTTATTTGACATGACAAATTTAACAAGCGTTGAAAATTTCATTGAGTTTTGTTCATAAATAAAGATTTTGTCATATATTACATATTTGTTTAATTTCTAAAACTATGATTTATATCAAACAATAATTTAGTCCATATTTATCCCTTAATATCATTTTTTAGTTAGATATGGAAATTCTCGACCCTTTACAAAAAATTTCAAGCCAATATCTCAATTACATTCAAAAATATGTTCATTTAAACCTGTGTCCTTTAATTTCATCTTTTTCATATTTTAGTATTAAGTATGACAGAACATACATTTGGTGTTGAATAAAATATTTGGACAATTTTTAAAAATTATTTAGTTAATTATTTTATTATAATATTGTATATAAAATAAAAAAAAATTATAATTTTATTATGAGCCACGCACAACAACACCTAAATCACCCCACACAAATTAACTTTCCCGCCCACCGAAATATAAAACACAATTTAATACAATATCATCAGTTAGTATAATAGCTTTTTTTATTTGAACTGTTTATCTTAAACATAATACAATTAATTCTTACAACCTACTTATATAGTTAATTCCTAACACTACTTATTTTCTATAAAATAATCTGTCATATCGGTATACATATCCAGAAGGTAATATAAGTCCTTTAAATCTTCCTTGTTTTGAGATGATAGAGTTTCATAACAAATCCATCTTTTTCGCATAGTTGAAAGAACAGGATCAGAAGATAGAAGTAAACTATTAAAAATATCTTCATTCAGTGATTGCCTGGAGCATTTTCTTGAGCTGAATAGTTGAACATGCTTAAAATCTCGATTCCTCGCTTCCTGGGCTTCTTCTGTTAACTCTCCAAGTGGAAGAATATTCGATTCAATTATTATTTGACCATGACACAATACTTTGTGTACTGTTGGTGTTAGTTCCCTCCATGGATACAGAGATACAAGTAATTTAGAAATTTCAGATGTGTATTCCCCAAATTGATTTTCATTAATTTTATGTTTACTATTCAGTGCCATTAAAATAGTTTTAACTCTTCGAAGCAACTCCTTGTCGATTCCAGTTATTTTTGAAGTAATTTCAAAATCACGAAAAAACCTTCTCGACGTATTACCGTCATTTGTACTACCGCAACTTGAAAGTGGTTTGCCGATGTTTAATCCCATCTGAACTTTAAATTCTTCTTGGATTCTGCTTTTTTCCGCAGCTCTCAGTTCTTTCAATTCTTCATTATTTTTTGTTGATTTAGTAGGATAGTTTGTTTTTTTTTTCCTGGATCGCCTTGTATGATGGTAATATATTGTGTCCTTTTTCATGCAGAGCTTTTCTTAATATTTGGTACTTATTTCGACTGAGACCCAGTTCCAACATAAGCGCTATTGCTTCCTCTTCAGTAAAATTTGATTATGATGTTGGAGTTGGTATACTTTCCACAATTCGCTTAAGTCGTTTTGGTGATGCATTAGGAAGAATAGTTGCAATATGTACGACATCCATATGTTGGTTTTCCTTTTTCAGCATTTCGTTAAATGTATCAGCAATTTCCTCATTTGAGATTGAAAAAAGTTTTTGTGTGACCCTCTTTTTTTTTACCTTGAACATAAGTCTTCGTATGACTTGCAAGGCGCTCCTATTGATGTGTTGTAAGTTGAGATTTCCGTAGTAGTTTCCATCCAACTACAAAATTTTAATCGAAATTTCTTTTGATTTCCATCCACAGACTTACTTTTTACATCAAAAAGTTTTAAAAAGTTTTCAATTTTTGATATGCCTGTTTTGTCTACTTTTCTACTATATGTAGTTTTTATATAATTTGAAATGTCTTCAATTCTTTCTGGCCCTTTTGAAGATATACTCCATAAAACGGAACACAACTCTTCGTACTTTAATGTAATCTTCATTGTAGATTTATTAAATATGGTACTTAAAATCTGAGAAGTTTACTTATATACCAATTCTTGTCATTTCCGATACAGGTATTCCAAAGTAAAAAATTACGAATTGTCTACCTATTAACATTTAGGACTATATTACTATAACCTGTAATTCAGTCATCGATATTTCTTATTAGTGAATGAATCGAAATTATCATTACCTGTACATTTTTACCTACATGATCATAAACGAAACAGAACGAAATGATCTGTCGAAAAAATTTAGGTAAAAAATAGTTATAAATTTTTGAAAATTTAAGCATAATAGGACCTTTCAATTATAAGGATAAGCAAACAAATAGAAAATAGGTAAATATAAGATTTAAATATGTGCTGTCATACTTAATACTAAAATATGAAAAAGATGAAATTAAAGGACACAGGTTTAAATGAACATATTTTTGAATGTAATTGAGATATTGGCTTGAAATTTTTTGTAAAGGGTCGAGAATTTCCATATCTAACTAAAAAATGATATTAAGGGATAAATATGGACTAAATTGTTGTAGCTATCTGCAATCCTATTAAAATGTTGATATAAATCATAGTTTTAGAAATTAAACAAATATGTAATATATGACAAAATCTTTATTTATGAACAAAACTCAATGAAATTTTCAACGCTTGTTAAATTTGTCATTTCAAATAAGAATATGCAAAAAAATAATTGAAAAGGTCAAAGGGCATCCCGCAATTCCCAAAAATAGGAATGAAAATCCCAAAAATGGGATTTTTTACTTTTTTGCCCATAGGGTCCACATTTCTTTCAGGGCTGGGAAAATACTTTTGGAG